AAGAACCTATATCAACTAAAAACATGCGAGACCAAAAACCACAACAGCCAGAAATGCATGCTGGACACTGCAATGCGAACTGCCGCACAATGCCTTGAATGCCTTCGTTCTATGTCAACAAGACAAAACACGCAAGACCTGATGCCATCACAAGTAGAGCCGAGCTGCACACATAGAAAGCAGCAAGAGCAGCCAGAACTTTTTCCTTGATGTTGTAGTCGTTTTGTGAAACTGTGAAACAAAAAGGTCGGGGCCAAAGTTCTTTGAAACCTTTGGCCCCTGCAACGATTGACTCTATAGGGCCTATAGCGCAAGAACATTTCAAGCAAGAACGTTTCAGGCAAGAACGATGCTGCGACATGAAAAGTTGTTTTGTGTTTTTGTTTCACTGCGTGGTCGTTCTTTTGCACCGCAAACAAAAGAAGCAAAGGAAAACGCATAAATCAACAAGAAAGGGAGAAGACAGAAACCAAAAAAACAGTACTAAAGCAACAAGAAGAAGATAACATGATAGACGCAAAAAGAAAGTGGAAGGAAGTGAGAGAGGAACAAAGGAAGAAAGGAGCAGCGACAGAAAGGAAAAGAAATGGCAAAAAGAAACAAAGGAAGCAAGTAAAAAAAAGGAAGGACGAAGAAGAACATAACTCATAAAAAGGGAAAAGGAAGAAAGGAGGAACGGCAGAAAGACAAAGAAAGAACACAGGAAAGAAATTGAATAAGGAAGAAAGGAAAGGGCAAGGAAGGACAAAAATGGTACAACAGCAAGAAATGGTGCAAATAAACGGATAAGGATAAGTAAAAGGAAAGGATGAGGAAAACGTAAAGGGAAAGGAACAGCAAAGGGAAAGGAAAGGAAAAGGACAAAAGGACAGAAAAAGGAAGGAATGAAAAAACAGAAAGGCAAAGATAAGAAAAGAAAGCAGAGAAAGGCACGCAGACAGAAGGAAAGAAACAAACAAAAACCATCAAACAAACACACAAAAGCGCAAAACACATACGATCAGAAAAGCCAGCAAGCCAACAAAACACAACAAACATCACCGAGCAAATCAAAAAAACAAACAACAAACAAGCAAGCAAAAGCAACAAAAAAACAAACAAACAAACAAGCCACGCAAAGCAACCAAGAAAACACCCAAACACCACAACTCCCACAACAAAACAACACAACCAAAAAGCAACAAACAACTACAACGCAAAAACCCAACTGTGCAAACTGCACTCTGAACTGTGCAATTTGCACTGTTCAAGTTTGAGCTCCAAAAACCAACTGTGCAATTTGCACTCTGGAGAGTGCAAATTGCACAGTTGTAGCCCGGACTAAATGATAATTTACTCGCCGAGAATTTAGTCGGGATCCGGACTAAATGATCATTTACTCTTTAGTCCCCGGACTAAATCCTTAAAAGAGTAAATTTAGACTCAAGTGATCTATCAGGTTACTTGGTCAGTAGGCGCTTACTCAACTAAGTCGGGGAGTAAGCTACTAGCAATAGGAAGCTCCTCGCTAGGACGCGGGATAGCTCACGTCATCTCAGTCATCACCCCGATCACTCCTCAGGCGTGCTCCTCACATGGTGCAACACCTGTTGCAGCACGCCTTCCAAAACGAAAAGCCACACTTTGCTGCAACGCTCGCGCAACAGTAGCAAGGGTTCAGCAATCCCAGACCTACACCCGATATGTTAAACATGGAATAGAATCTTCTTGAAAAAGGATATTAAAGATATTCTTTTGAGTTACTAATAGGAATGGCATCCAACAAAGAATAGAACCGTTTCAATCTAAATGCTGACGACAGGGAGACGTGTTTTTTAGGTGGGGGCTGCGTGACCCAAAAATAATGAATTCAGCATCACTTTAAAGATTCCAATCAAAGAAGTTGTTGTTTTTGAAGAATGCCTTGTCTTGGCAGTCTTGTTAGCTCTTGTAGCAAACATGAAGCGCCAAGAGAAAGGGCATTTGGGCATTCAGTTTTTCCCAAACGCATCTCCGATGCTTGGGTTCTCGTTTAGTCGCTAGTGCCGCGGAAGAGCGAGACAAAGCATGCGTTGTCGGGGACGGAAGATGGATGTCGAGGTGGACGGGGTTGGGAAGGGAAGAGGGAGGGGAAGGAAGGGAGGGGAGCGAGACGGGAGGCGCATGGGTGGGGACGGAGCGAG